CCTAAAAAAATCAGTTGTCTATAGTGTTGTTCTTTTATTTCAAGAGCTTGCACTCTCAAACGGTTGATGAATTTGTTTAAACAAAGCTTCGAGGGATTTGATCTTTTACTATCAGACAGGAAGAAGAGTCTAATTTCTTCAGTGTAGTCTTTATCCAGTTTATGAATCCTCTGAAATGTCTTTGCATAAACATACATATATATATTTATGGTGAGAACCCTTTCCACAAGAAAAGATACAAACAGCGTTTACCAATAATTCATTAAAATTTATAATAGCTTTACACTATAAATATCTGTATTAAAATGTTCCTAAAAATAGCTGACTTTATTACTGACATAAAAATGACTATCAGGTTTTGAAACTTATTTCTTCTTTAATCTCTGTTATTCCATGTTGGAGAGGTCTGCATGTACTTCTAATGTTAGTACTCATTAAAGTCTTTGTCTATAAATCTGTCGTGAGACATACTGCTTTCCTGGGATGAAGCCCACCTAAATGAGGACAGATCTGACAGGGAACCCAGGAGTTAAGGGATTTACTGGGTTTGTTTTCCTCTTCTGCTTTTGTACTAAACCTTTGAAAAACTACATCTTACTGATCCTCATGAAAAACTCAGCCATAAGGTCATCTTGGTACAACCTATGCAAGACCTCTAAATAAAGTTTATTATAGGGAAAATATAGGTTTTCCATATTTCATAGCTATCCTGAGTTTATCATCAGGCAAAAAACAAATAATAAAGAAGCATAAAAAGCCTTAAATCCCCCCCAAATACACAATGTCTTTTTATTATTTTCAAATTAACAAGTTGGATCTTACATCAATAGTAAACTGAACCAATATATATATATATAAAATATAAATATAAACAATGTTTAGAGATGACTTCTGCTTAAGCACGGGTTATGAAGTGTTTAGTCCATTTTTAGTTGTTAAAATACAGTTTTAATATTAAATTTTAATATTCTAGGATTGATATAATTAAGTTCGAAAGCAGTCCAATTTAACTAGAGGCTAAAGAGTTTATTCATAAGTTATTAATTCCACTGTCAGCAGCATTTTTCCTATAATATACTTCTTTTTACTGTTCCTGAAATCTGTGAAGTAAAAATACAACAAAAAAATTGCCCTAGATAATTTACTATACTGTACATTTCTATCACATATATAAAACCCTGGAAGTATCATTTTCAATGTGTGTTTCCCAATAATTGTCACTGTCATTATTAATTATTTTGTTCTGTCATGTAAGAATTGAAGTTATCAATTAAAATAAATGAGAACTCATCCCATTTGAATCAATCTGGTTACATAATTAGCACTCATTTATAGACTCTTCTATTAATGGTGTCACTCCATCTACAAACTACTATAGTGAGGGGAAATAAATGTCCCAAATTGTTTCATGCCTTCATAATGGGCAAATTGCAATTTCAGGCATACTGGTAATGCCGTTTATAGCACATTTTTGTGGAAAAAATAGTTCCTTATAACGATATCATTTATTTTTATTAACCTTTCCACTGCAGCTGAGATATTGGTAAGCCTATGCAACTTTAACAGTCAAGGCAGGAATCTCTGGATATTGAAGTCCTCCAATTTTAGGAAAAAAAATTAATTATTTTCCTGCAATGATAAAACTGGGGGGAACCCAAAGTGCACCTTGGTAACCAGTAGACTATATATATGTCTAAAGTGCTTCCAATGCCACAAAACACAACAAGGTATCCATGTAAAGTAAATGTTATGTTACTGTAAGACACATCATTTTCCTTGTGCTGCTACTAGTTTAAAATAGATCCCTAACAAGTAGACAGAATTTTTTTTTTTTCAACACATAAATTCTTACTGCTCAATAACATTGAGTAAAAGAAAGATGGAAAACCTAAATTCTTTGTGTCAACTCTTTGCCTTTCCCAAACAAAGCCCTTTTCCAAAGCACATACTGTTTACTCAGCACTGCATGAATTTTGTGCCATTTTAGGAGTTGAGGACATGATAAATGCCCATAACCAGCAGCTTACCTTCAAATGTCTTTCACCCAGACCACATTATTTGTAGCAAGAAGCAATACTTGCAAGTCACCACTGTGCAACAGCTACAGACACATTCCATTTAATTTTTTCAGAAGATGGAAAAGGAATAGAAGTAGATCGCTGAATGTCGAGGGGTAGATTTTGTTGTATGTTAGCATTCCAAAGAAAAGAATTAAAAATATGTTCTGCTAAAGATACTTAACTGAATAAATATTTAAAACTCCAGAATTTTGAAACTCAACCCCATAATTCTTATGTTTATGGACTACATGTAGAATTAGTTCCATTTTATCAGAAATCAAGTTACTTTTGAAAAGGGATAAATGAAGAAAAAACAAAAGAAAAAGGTATTTATGACCTCTCTTTTTTTTAAAAAAAAAAAAAGAGAGATTGAAATCTGAATTTTAAGACTATGCTACAATTAAAAAAAAAAGAACCAAAACAAAATGACGACAAACCAAACCAAAACCAAACAAATAGAGAAACATCAAAAAAAAATGGTCTTTTTCTTCTCTTGTAGGTGGTATTTGAAAACCCTTCAACAAATACATGTCTGCATTTGTACAACAGTTTCAAATTGCAAACTGCATTCTCTAACTTTTGCAGAAAACTACTACATTTGCTGGCAGTATTACATTATTTTTATATTGGCCTAGGATGCATACTACTCAAAGCAGAACTATCTTGTCAGCCACACATACAGGACTCTACCCATGTTTAACACAGCACATATTAATCACATGTGAACAGTACATGTAGACAGATAAGGGGCTAACTGCAAGCCCCCATGTCCACTACCTGTAAATTGTCTCCAGTTTACCACTCAAACGTTTCCTCCAAGGAGAAGGAGATAGAAAGACAGATCTAGTCTGAACACTAAACAATGCAGCTTTTGAAAGAAGCTCCTCAGATTTGAAGCTATTTTTGCCACCTTCTCCTCTCAGTTGTCACAGCTTTGTTCACTTTACTCCTGCTTGACTTGGGCATAGGATGCAAGTCTTTTTGTTTTTGTTTAGTGGTTCTAGAACACAGAATAAACACAGGATGGTAATTTTCAGGCGTTCTGGATATAATAATGGTTACATTTTATGCTAGATCAATAGACCTTGAAAAGTATTGTTGAAAGCACATGAAAAACCACAGAAATACTTAGGAAATTGAAAAAAAAAACAGGTGGGCAGAGGCGTAACCCAAATATCCCTTTTCTCCTGCTGTCAGACCCTGCAGTAGTGTCAGGAGCTGGATGGAAAAGAGTCCAAAGTGCTAGACAAAGAAACCCTCCACTGACTGAAATAAATGCTGCAAGGTGGATGGGGAAGATATGTATGGACATGAGAACACATCTCCACCCTTTTTTGCAGGCACTGTTTTGTCACTGTTGTTCTTCATGGAAAAACAGTGTAAAGGCTTTCAACATTCAACCTGTCCTTATATGTAATTTGTAAATACGTAAATATTTGCCCTTGGGTTCTCTTAGACAGTCATTCCTACACATCTAAGGGTCATATTCAGAGGTAAAATACTGTAAATAGGAGCAATGTTTATTCATTAAAACATCACGACATTTACATTACCATATTTCTTGCTGATTTTAAGATAAAACAGAATCTGTGACTCCAGATACTTTAAAGTATGAATTTGGTGTAGTCATAAAACATTCCAAAACAAAGGAAATATTGGATCTGCTGCGTTATCTGTCAGCAATTAAAGAATGCATAGATGGCATGCATATCTGATAAGGCTGCCTTCCATGAGACTGCCTGGACCACCTTCAGTGTGTTAATCATATGTGGATTTCTCACATGAATATTCACTGCATTTTAGGAAGCCCTTTCTGCTGTTTGCCATCTTTGCTCCTAGTGGCAGGTTGAAAGGGACAAGCAAATTTTTTTAAGCAACCTGAATGCTAGATTCTAAACGTAGTACTTTGCAATACCTCTAAAAAGGCCATTTTATTTCAAACTCAAAATGTAAAATCACCATGCTTCCATTTCTGTAGTGCCTGGGAAACAGTCCAACTAAAACCCAGAGCTGTACTATCCGCAAACGTTTCCCAATGTTCTGTGCTTTTTTCCACAATTATTGTAGCCAAATTATTTCTACCCAAATTAGCAATCGCCAGTTAACATTTTGTCATGTCAAAGTTTTGGAGAAGAGGGTGATGAAGAGGAACAGCTTGCTTTCTGTCAAATGCTTACTCTTTCTGTGGATCATGCAGAGACACCAGTCTAATAAGCTCACAATTGAAGCCTCACTGGCACTATGATAATAAAACATTGTGCCTTTGTGCACCTTTAAGTAGGTGAGCCAATAAAGAGAGAAATATACATGGTCCTTGTAAGTCATTTGAAACTGTTAGACTATAAAACACCAGCATTCCCTCTATTTAGCCCTAGACACCATAGCTTCTCTTTAGTGTGAAGCTTGGATCATTCCTGAATATTTTTATCTCAGTTCCTTATCCTCTAACATACCACCCAGGCAGGCTTCTGCGTAGCCTTTGGTGTGCTTGGGTCAGAAAAGAAAATTAATCCCTCTGCTTTCCATCTTATTAAGAGTTTGGGACCGCAGTTTGGGCTGTTAACATTGACATTCCAGGATGTACAACTACTGCTCTCCTTTGAATTTTTCTTATTACTAGTCAGGGCAAGTGCCACTTGGACTTCATGGACTTGAAAAAAGAATAATCAAAGTCATGTTCCTGTTCCCATTTAAGCTAATAAAACTTTTGTCACAACTTCAGCAGAGCCCCAGGCCCTCAAGGAGTGCTTTCACAACTTGCAGCTTCAGTTTTTGAAGTTCCACATGGTTTAACTCAAAAGTTGAGTCACTTGGGAGATGCATTCTTTTCGAATTCTTCTTTTCACAGCAAAATTCAGATTCCAAAAATTGTAGAGGCCAGTTTAAAATAGAAATAATTTACCAAGCGTGCCACCCGTTTTTCTCCATTTTTTTCTACAGGACCTGCGGCTTACTGTGACCTTGGCCAGTTCACATGGGACTTGGTGCTAATTCAAGAGGATGCGGTCACTGGAAGAACAAACCAGCAATAGCGTGTACTGTGTCACTGAGCACTAGTTAATTTGTACATATTTGCCTGTTAAAAATACAGGAGTCAAGGGCAGCTTTTAGCTTCTTATAGTCTCACTATTCTGTGGCTAAAAATATTGTCTGAAAGTGGACTCCTTCCAGGACAAAAATATTCATGTTTGACTGGACCACCTTCTATGTGCATCACTCACCCACAAGATGTATCCAGATAGTGGAAAGTTCTAATTAACCAGCAGAACATATTGCTACTACACCTTTGCTCTAGAGTGATCACATGCATCATCTTCTTGTGACCCACTCCTCTACTCAAAGAAACAGGCTAATAATATACTTTTAAAGAAGTGTGAATGGGGATTTATACTGCCTGAAGAAGCCACTTTCACATGAAAATCATTTGTGCAATCGTTTCCACTTCAGTGCAGGAACAGGATGATGTTCTCCCATTATGCCAAGGAAAATACTACGGCTGCTGCGGCAAGGGTGAAACAGCTTTCATTAGAGAAGCTGACATGTTATTTTTCTCTCAAAAACCTCCAGAACTTTCTGAAAAGGGATTCAGTATTTGGTGAAGCACTAAGGACTTTTTAGGAAATGTGCTTTGCTTCGTAAGAAGTTACTCAGAATGTGGTTCAAAATGTGTTTTTCTAACTAAAGAGAAACGTGTGGTGCATGTGAAAAAATACAGAAACCCGTGAAAGATATCTTTGTTAAATGTCAGTGATATGTGTCTGTTATTTCTCTGTCTTGCAAGCTAATAAACTTAAGACCAGTTGCTTTACAGACAGGGTAGTTATTAGCTTTCAGTAGAAAATAATGTACCATAGGGAATTTACAGTATAAGAAAAATGCTCTTAAATATTTTGGGCCATTTGAGCCACCCAGGCTAAGTGTTTTCTGGCAGTAGAGGTGTTATTGTTGCCATAGCCCTGCCACATGATGTTATTCTCCTAAGTAAATGTAGTTTTCCTATGAAAGGACTCTGCTTAAGCCCAGTGGCAAGTAGCCACGATTTCTTTCTCATACCCAGGATGGAAGAGACGGTTTTGGGGACTGTGTAACAGTGGTAGAAAAAAAGAGCACAACTGCAATCTGTGTTTTACATAAAACAGGTGGACTGCAGTAGAAAGACATGTCATTTCTGACCATGCTCACAGAAAATAACTAGTTGAATAACTAAATAATCAATTACAGTGAAAAGGCAGACTTGTTGCTTCTGTCTTTCAGAAAGAACAGTACACATCCAATAAAAAAAATAAGACTCTACAAAAATATAAGAGGAGGTATCTAACCCTCATGGTTTTCTTTTCATGGAACCTTTTTTTACTATTAGATATCTTCTGTGTTTTCTAAATTTCAACTTAAATCTAGTTACTGAAGATCCAGATTGACAATAAGAACAGCTATCGTTGGAAGTCCAACAGCCAGACTATATGCTGACTGTTGGGATTATCAACCACCTTCCAGACAGAAAAATAAACATGAAATTGTGTTTTCAACCCCCCAAACAATGTTTGGCTATACACATTCTTGGCCTTAAACTCCACTTTTAATAATGCAAATAAAAAATTATTCTGCATTAAAACTTGACAAAATTACTTCATCCCTTATTCCAGGGCACCTATAGTGAAGTTGAAGTTTTTATGACTGTAAGTAGATTAGACCTGCAATGTTATTTTTAGTCGTGTATTTATTCATGAGCAAAGGTCTTTTTTGATACAAACCAGGTGCAGACCAGCTGCTTTGTGTATCTGTGAAAGTGGCCCCAAACTGAACAAAAAAATTGCAGATACCTATCTCTGTATAATAGCATTTGTGTGTTGTACAATTCCTCCATGTTATTCTTGTGCAACATTTTTCCATAACTAAATAATTTTGGTGGGCCTTTCAGCTAAGGTCAAATCCATGCAATATGATCTGCTCAAACATGCAATGGAGCACAGGGAGGCAGCCATCCCATCAGTTGCAGAGCCGGTCTCACAGTACATCTCACAGTAGAATGGGTCACACTCCACAGGGAGCTGTTTAAGTGCTCAAGGCCAGCTTGAAGGGGGATTTGAGCACCCTGGTGTAGTGGAAGGTGTCCCTGCCCAGAGCAGGGTGTTGGAACTAGATGAGCTTTAAGGTCCCTATTAGCCAAAACTATTCTATGATTCTACATTCCATAGTCTCCAAAGGGTACCCACACAGCCCCACACTGGGGTTGTAGAAGCTACAACTTGCACTGTCCCAGGTCCATAGACCATCCCAGGAGCAGCACAAGCATGGGGCCATACTTCTGCAAGTGCCGCTGTGGGCAATCTGAGCACTGGTATGGGGCAAGTGAGCCACCCACTTGTCTGCTGCTTATTGTCAAACTCACATGCAGTTGGTATGTGGCAACACAGCCATACAATACCAGCACAGACAGAAAACCAGCAAATTATGCAAATAAAAGAAGCTGTTTGAGGCAAGGACTGTAAATCTCAGTGGAGGTCAGGGCTTCCTTGACCATAAACAAATGATAAGTATTTATATTCTGTTCTACAATTCTACAATTCTATAATATTAACACATACATTTGTGTATAGGGAAGGGAAGAGATACTGTAAGGGGAGCTACAATATTTAGTAACAACCTAAACTTCATTTCAAATATCTCTCACTGATTTGCAAGTGGTAGCTTCTGAATAAAGGCCAGAAGCAATATTTGACTGGAAAAATAGTATGCAGCCAGAAACCAAGAAGGACTAAGAGAAAGGATCCTACAGCACTTGAAACTAAGGGCTGGAAGTTTCATCTGATAGAAAAAGGAATGCCTGTTCATCTGGGGAAAACATAATGCAAAACATGTTTGCTGAGTGAGAAAAATGTTGATTGGGCAATATCAAAAGCAGCTGTGGTGTGACAGTGGAAAACCAATTAAATAAATGTGACATGGCAGCAAAACAGTCCATGTGGATTGGGGTTTGTGACGTTACCAGAGGGGACAGTGATGTAAAAGCTGGTCACTAAGCTGCAACTGTGACAACAGCATTGATGACCTGCCAGGGGGAGAAGGGAGGAATACACATATTACTCAACGTTTCAATGTACCTTACTCTTATAATTATGATCTCTCAGCTTTCCAGTTCATCAGACGCATCCTGTGGTGTGGTGAAGTTACCAACATGCATAGCTGTGCTCACTTGGCAGATATTTAGTATTCTCCATTCTGTGGACTTTGCGTTTCTTGACACCAATATTGAAAAAGAAAACAAAGAAACCACATAACACAGAAAACCTGATAGGCAACGTTTTCTGCCAGACAAGAAAAGTGTTTGACTGTGTTGTGACTTTCAACTCAGTTTACTGTCAAGAGCAGGTCTTCTATGGCTGTCACTCTTCTCTGAAAAAAAACACGCAGTGTCTGTAATGAGATGGGGCTAATTACTTTTTAAGCTATTACTACAAGATAAATCATTGTTCTGGGTATAAAGACCAAATATGACACATTGCATCACAAGCGGAAACGGCAATATGCACTAGCTATCAATGTTTTGTAAAGTGGCATGGGATGAGAGACTGCTTTGTGTACTTGAAAAGTACTGGAAAGCCAATATCCAAACACAGAGAGCAAGCAAGGTCTGTCCTTCTCACTTTTTGTGAGTTTTTTCTTGAACGAAGAAACTAGTATTCTATTTTTCTGTTTATTTGAATCACTTAAAATGCTATGCCAGTGTCAAGAGACTACATGAAAAGTCTTTATCTTAAAGAGATAATGTGACAAAGCAGTGTAAGTTTATGATCCAGATTATTATGTAGAAGTTTAAACTTAATGCTAGGCTTCTCATTTTCAATGTGTGCTTGCAGCAGTTCATTCAAACGAAGGGTTTTTTACGCACCAGAAGTTTTCAACAGTTCTGGTTCCTAAGGCTTTCTACATTTTCATGGAATGGGAGCAACTTTCATTCAAGCTTCCCCAACACTCTCCCACCTTTTCCTTAAGGGACCATTCAGGATGAATGCATGGTTTAGTCTCCATGACCCACTCACTTGCTGGTGCCACTGTGACTGCCAATAAGTGACTGAAATTAGCTTTAACTGCAAGGCGAACACTAGAAGTAGTTAGACAGACACCAGTAATTCATCCTTCACTTTCTGCTACTGTTAATCTGCTTGAATCAGTGGCCTACAGCTAATGGATTCAATAGGCTTTTTGCTTAAGTCTGATCAAGCTATTAGTAATACAGCTGGGGAAAAAAGTACAAAAGATACTTTGAATTTGAATATGATTTTTTAATGACCTTTTCTATTCCTAATGCATACGCAGCCCAGTTGTTTCTAGGTCAAGCTAATCATAGAATCAGAATCAACTAGGTTGGAAAAGACCTTTAAGATCATAAAGCCGAAAGCAATCCTCCCAAGCAGCAGTGGGTTATCTTTGGTACCTACAGAAGATTCCATTTGGTGTGCTTTCTGTTTTTTTCAACAGCAGCTGGGAAAGTAATTGCTGGTGGAAACACATGGACACAGTGATCCTTAGCATCGCCAGGACTGCATTAGACCATGTGGTTAACTTGAACTGCATGTGTTTGGATTCCCTGTCTTAATTCTGAACCTGCAACATAAGGAGAGCATATTTCCCTTCTCCCACATCATTAATTGCAATCACTGTTATCCAAATAATCTGGTTCATAGATAAAAATTGTTTGAAAAAAAGAAAAAGCTGAGAGACAATGGATCAGCTAACAATAGACCAGCTAATCATTTAGGAAAACTAATAAAAAAATAGTGACATATTAATAAACCATTCTGACTCCTGGCTTGTCAAGGATTTGGAGTATGAAGTATAACAAATCCAAAATCCATCCGCTAAATTCTACTGACACTGAAACCTATAGGAACCCTGTTTCTTGTGACGGGTCAGTTCAGTGAGTTCAGCCAAGCACTAAGGCCTGAAATGGGGCTGCAGAAATTCTGACATGCCTCCACCTCCAAGCAATCACAAAGGCTTACCAAGTGCTGTAAATAGCCCAAGCACAAGCCTC